TCTTTCTTTCTTTCTTTCTTTCTTTCTTTCTTTCTTTCTTTCTTTCTTTCTTTCCTTCCTTCCTTCCTTCCTTCCTTCTTTCTCTTTCTCTTTCTTTCTCTCTCCTTCCTTCCCTACTCCCTCTCTCCTTCCTTCCTTCCTTCCTTCCTTCCTTCTCTCTTTCCTTCCTTCCTTCCATCCTTCCTCTCTTTCCCTTTTCCTTTCCTTTCCTTTTTCTTTTGAGCCAGGGGCCTGTCCTCTTGCCCAGGCTGGAGTGCAGTGGCACGATCATGGCTTGCTGTAACTACTGTAACCTTGAACTCTTGGGCCCAAGGGATTCTCCTGCCTCAGTCTCCAAAGAAGCCAGAACTACAGCTGCATGCCACCATGGTCAACTAATTAAAAAAAATTTTTTTTTGTAGAGATGAATTCCTGTTTTGTTGCCCAGGCTGCTCTCTAACTCCTGCCTAAATCAATCCTCCTGCCTCAGTCTCCCAAAGTGCTGGGATTACAAGCATGAGCCGCCATGCTTGGCCTTGAAGTGCCTTCTAATCATACAGTTTTAGCCTTTCTGAGAATATCATAGAAACAGAATCATACAGTGTGTATTCTTTTGTGTCTGACTGTTTCATTTGGCATGACACATTTCAGATGCATGCGTGGTGTTACGAATAGCAATAGCTCGTTCCTTTTTATGGCTGAGCAGTATTCCATTGTATGAATGCTTTACAGTTTATTTTTTTTGTTCACTAGTTGAATGCCATTTAGGTTGTTTGTACTTCTTTGGTGATTATGAGTAAATGCACTACAAACATTTGGATTTAGGTTTTTGTGGGAACATGCATTTTCATTTCTCTAGGGCTGGTTTTTTTTTTGTTTTTTTTTGACAGGGTCTTCCTCTGCCTCCCAGGCTGGAGTGCAGTGGTGCAATCTCAGGTCACTGCCACCCAGCCTCCCTGGCTCAATCCTCCCTTCTCAGTCTCCTGAGTAGCTGGGACTACAGGGGTGTACCACCATGCCCTGCTGGGGTTATAATTTGTAAAAAACTGCCAACCTGTTGCCCCAAATAGTTGTACCAATTTTGAACCAACAATGTATGAGATTTCCAGAGGCTTCGCATCCTCAGGAGCACTTGGTACTGTCACTTAAACAAGTTTTTGTTTGTTTGTTTAGCCAATCTAATAGCTGTGTAGTGGATCTCATTGTGGTTTTAATTTGCTTTTTTCTAATGACTAATGACGCTGAACATCTTTGAAATGTACTTATTTGCTGTTTGTTTATCTTCTTTGGTTAAGTGTCTTTAAAAAGTTTCGCCTGTTTTTATAGGGTTGTTTGTTTTCTTATTATTGAGTTTTGGGAGTTCTTTATGGAATCTGGATTCAAGTCCTTTGTCAAACATGTGCTCTGCAAATACTTTCTTCCCATTTGTGGCTTGTCTTTTAACAGTGTCTTTTGCAGAGCAGAAGTTTTTAATTTTGATGGAGCTCAATTTATCGTTCCTTTTTTTTTTTTTTATGGATTGCGCATTTGGTGTCATTTCACCAGCTTTTAATTTTATTTTAATTCTCCTCAGCCTGTGAACAGCACTTGGGTGTGGTTTCCAGGCAGTTGCTGCGTGGAACCGCTCTTCCCCACTTCCTGCCCGGCCCCTCCATAGCCCCCTCCTGGCTATTTCGGTCACCAGCTGGAACCTCTGTGAGGAGGGGCACTGGCCCACAGATGTTGCCCTTCTGAAGCCCTGGGGAAAGGTGTCATGAAGGAGGACAGCCACTGAGAATGTCTCCCACGCACCCTGCTCTCTGCTTGCCTGCCCCGACTCCCACTTTCTCAAGATAGAGGGGTTTTCATTCCAGAAACACTGTTGCTTTCATGGTTCCTTGGTTGGGGCCGACACAGTTCACGCCACGGGTTTCTCTAACTTCGAAGATCTGGAAACAAGGCTGAGGCACTGCCTTTTACCACCCATAAGGGCTTTGGACTTACTGCAGAAAGTCTAGGAAGTGGCAGCTTCCTTGAACCTGCAACATCTTTTTTCTCCTGAATCCCAGGACAGAGTGACCCCTTGCTCATCTTTGCATTGCCTGGATAAGAAGGTGGGTCCCAGCTGCCTTATAGTCTACATATCCAGAAAAGGGACTCTACATGTCCAGCCCAATGAACCTGTCATTTGACCTTTGCTTTGACTGGGTTCTACTGCACTGGCTCCAAGGAAAGGCAAGGCACCTGGGCATGGCTGGGGTCTTTCCATCTTTGCGACAATGGAGCAAAGACGGAATAAGTCACGTCTAAAGTTCTCGTTTTGTTGACCGGGTTGCTCTCTAACTCCTGGCCTAAAGCCATCCTCCTGCCTCAGCCTCCCAAATGGCTGGGATTACAAGTGCGAGCCAGCGCTTTATGTTTCATCTTGGGAACCACCAGATGGAGCATAAATAAATATCCAACATCCAGCATCCTTGCATCAGTGCTTAGGGAACCTGGCATTAACTGGGAAGCTCTAGGGCCTGGAGGCTGGGCTGTGGAATGTGTCCGCCATGCCTAAGTGGAGTGGCCATTGCCACTGGTGAGTCTGCTACTGTGACAATACTATTAAAATATCAGCCATTCCTCCAAGACTGAACATGAGCCAGAGCTCTGCAGCTACAGTTGAGGCCTTGCCTAAGTGGCCAGAACCAGAATTCAGAATCTCACTCCAGTTGTGCACACACAAAGA